GCTGCTCTGGCTTCGCTGAGCCTGGACCCGCTGCCCAGGGGCCCGAGGCCCTGGGAGCAGCCAAGGGCGGCAGGTCCGACCCGGCCCCCCTCAGCTCTGAGGCGCGCTGTGGGCAGCAGCCCCGAGTGCCCCTTGCCCAGCAGGGTGGGGCCCAGCGCAAGGATCTAAATCTTTGCTCTTTTCCACCAGGACGGGCCCTGCGTTCCCGCTGGATGAGCAGCCTCCAGGAGGCAGGCGCCTCTCCGGCCGCCGCCACCCCTCCTGCCGGCCAGGCGCGGCACCAGAGCCCAGAGCCACCTCAGGGGACCCGAGTGTCCGGCAGCCGGGAGGCTTGGGGGTCCTCCGCCCCGACCTCTGGCCAGCAGTGCAGGGCTGCCAGCAGGGCGCCACTCCCCAGCCGCCTGCAGTGCCAGCTCTGGGGGCACTCCTTCAGCCCCCCGCATTTCCACTCAGCAGACCTGTAACCTCCAAACACAGACACTGGCCTCGCCACCGCTGCCCTCCAGGTCCCCGGCTGAGTCCTGCGGCCGAGCCCAGCCTCCTCCAGCGGCCTCAGCCCCGGGGCTAGGGAGCTCGGCTGGTGTGGGGCGAGAAAGCCAGGCGGGCTTGGGGTGCAGAGAGCCGGGCTGGGGGGTGCAGAGAGCCGGGCTGGGGGGTGCAGAGAGCTGGGCTGCTGGCTCGGCCTGCTCAGCGCCCGGGAGTGGGCCCTGGGGGCGGGAGAGGGCCCTAGTTTGGCCCCTCCCTGCCCTGCTGCACCCCAGAGAGCCGGGCTGGGGGGGTGCAGAGAGCTGGGCTGGGGGGGTACAGAGAGCCGGGCTGGGGGGTGCAGAGAGCTGGGCTGGGGGGGTACAGAGAGCCGGGCTGCCATGGGATGGGAGAGCCGGCAGTGTGGGGTGCAGAGAACCCGGCTGGTGGCGAGGGCACCCCGCGCTGGTGTGGGGCGAGAAAGCCAGGCGGGCTTGGGGTGCAGAGAGCTGGGCTGGGGGGGTGCAGAGGGCAGGGCTGCCATGGGATGGGAGAGCCG